GAGCTAAGAATCGAACCAGAAATGTCTTTCAGAACACACCTAAACCACTCCTCTTCCAATCACTAGAAGTAGCCGCATCCACATTAAGTTTAATAAAACCCTTTGGAGGAGGGGACCAAGGAAACTTAGTAGAAATCCGATTAGTATGAGACGAGCAAGAATCCACTAAGGACGGGTCGGCAATAAGAGCATCCTTGGAAATAGAAATCTGAGTTTTCCTAGCTAGAAACCATGAAGCAAGCCTGCACCTTGCTAGAAAGAATATTTCCTCTCGATCAAGCTTCCCTCCTTCAAACACTATATAATTCCTAGTTTTCCATATTGTCCATAAGACCACTCCAGGGATAAATGACCACATAAGAGAGTTGGTCTTCAAGTTAGTCCATGCTACTAAGAATTTTTTAGCATCTTCATGAAAAACAGACTGAAAATTCCAATAGCCCATGAATTTAGTCCATATTGGCCAAACAACTGAACATGAAAAAAATAGATGAGATGAAGACTCTTCTTCTAGATTACAAAAAGGACACATAGAATCATTTATGCCCTGAACACCTCTCTTAACCAGAGCTGTCTTCACTGCCAGCTTCTTTAAGATAACTTGCCAAAGAAAAGTCTCCACTCTTGGAGGCAGCAGGCCCCTCCAAACAATAGATTTCCAAAAATTAGCTTCCTCCGAATCGGAACTCCCCGAATAATTTAGATTGGCACATGATTTAACATTGAAAACCTTCTCCATTCCCCTTCCAAAACAGTCCATCAAAAACATCAGCAGAAACAGAAAAATCTGAAATAACAGCCATCAAGTTTGACCATTGTTCAAATTCCCAGTCATTCAACTCCCTTCTCAACTGGACGTTCCAAAACCAGCCCCCAGAGCTGTAATCCCCAAACTGAAATAATCTTCCAGTTTTGTTCACTGCAATAGAGAATAGTCTAGGGAACATGACCATCAAAGGATGATCCAATGCCCAATTGTCTTGCCAAAACCGAATATTCCTCCCATTGCCAATTTTATAGCTATAATTGCTTCTGATACTACAGCCCATCGAATCAGCTTTAAAATGATTATTCACCAAAATCTCCATATCCAAGAAAATTTAGGAGAAACCTTACTGTCAAACTGCATCAATGAAGAATCCATTTTATATTTAATGCAAATCATTTCCCTCCAAATCGCCTTCCTCTCAATAGCAAACCTCCAAGCCCACTTTTCCAATAAAGCCCTATTCATCGTATTTAAATTAGGAACTCCCAAGCCTCCTTCAATTTTTGGTTTACAAACGTCGGTCCAGCTTACCCAATGGATCTTCTTCCTCCCATCTCCTCCCCCCATAAAAATTTGACATAATAGAGTTTAGGGTCTTGTATACTGAAGCTGGAACCTTAAACAATGACAAATAGTATATAGGAAGTGAACATAGGACTGATTTAATTAGAACCAGCCTGCCCGCCAGTGACAAAGAAGAGCCTTTCCAACCTGCTAACATTCTCAGACCACCATGCTTGGAAAGTCTAGACCTATCATAAAATATTTCCATCCGAGGTAGATAAGAATATTGTAACTTGTCTGTATCTTTCCACTTTCAGTTGACTATGGGACAAAAGCTAAAAGTTTAATAATCCTCTAATTTTATGTTTGATATTCAGATTGTCCTTTGGAAACTATAACATCACATTATTTAGGTATTTATTGGTGTGTTTGCTTTTGGTTCTTAACAAGTAGCAGTTGGGGTTTCTTTGAAACTGTATGGTAAGATGCCTATGTAGTGGTGTTACATTATAAAATTTCCAGTGGTAGGAGCTACGTGTTCTTCACAAACCCCTCTGACCGCACCCCATTTAACTACCTTTCATAATATAAACAAAGAATCTTCTCTATGAATGATTTTGCTTATTGTTTCTTTTGCTCATCAAATCTGGACAGTTATATGTGCCCTCTCTCATCTTCCTCTCTGCCGGTACCTTTGATTTCTTGACCTCCTTGCTTCACACAATGACACAATATTTTTGCTAACTTCCAACCCTGTTTTTATCAAGTTCTTAATGTTGTTTGCTTTCCAGCTCATGTATAAAAACTAGCGTTTATATGGTCCTAAAGATCGTCTTTCAAAATAGTTATAAACTATATGCATACCTTGATTTATAAAGAGTGGCGCTTAGATGGATTTTCTTACCCTCCCCCTCCTCTTTGGATGGATGCCGTATAGGGTGTTGAACAACAAACTGTTGAAGGCTTGCTGCATTCACTAGGGCTGGGGAAGTATGCGATCACTTTCAAGGCAGAAGAAGTAAGTGATTAATTGACTTCAATTCTTAGTAAGGATAAATTCTTTTTCGTTTTTGAAAGAAAAAAGGTGTTGGGAGATGCTTTGAAAGACTAATCAGCTAAGAACAATGATGCATATTCATTTGATTTGTTATTTCTTCTTGGTAATTTTTTACTTGTTACTTGTTTTCTTTTGTGTACGTCAGTAGTTTAGTGCGAATGCAAGATGGTAGAGTGTTTCTTTCATCTTCACCTAATTGGGATGTTTGGTGATTTTCTCATTGAATAAATTATTATCAATTGTGATTCTGGCATCTTATCTTTGGTAATTTTTTACTGTTACTTGTTATTCTTTGTGTACGTCAGTAGTTTAGCGATGCAAGATGGTAGAGTGTTTCTTTCATCTTCACCTAATTGGGATGTTTGGTGATTTTCTCATTGATTAAATTATTATCAATTGTGATTCTGGCATCTTATCTTTCCGTGGTCAAATGATCTTGGTAGTATTTGGGATTACTCATCAGTATCAACTTTTGTATGTATCCTTTCTTGTTATATATTTATAGCTTGGTCCTGGCAGAGGTTGCTCTTAATGTAAAGATGTCTACACACATTTGTCAAAATAAGACTAAACATGGAACTTTATAGAAGCAAAGACTAGTCTGTATGTTTTATGTTGCAAAAACTGGAAATTCAGTGGTTAGATCAAGAGACTTCCATTGTGGAGCTCATAGATTTAATCTTAGGATGTGGATCAGATAAGTCTATTCTGCCAGCTGTGGCTGTATTGGTCTCTTTGAATCGGTTGCAATATTTTGTAAAGTTGTTAAACTTGTGAATGTCTTATAAAGCAATGTTAAGTATCTTCAGAGATTTGCTTACTGATGCTTCCAAACTGATTGTATGTAGAGAAATATCACGGACCTGAAAGTTGGTTTTGATTGGAGAATTTCTTGTTTAGTGGTTCCCCCCCCCTGTATTCTCCTCGTTCAGCTGATATGTGTATTGGGTATTTTACACAGGTGGACATGACTGCACTGAAGCAGATGGGGGAAAACGACCTTAAAGAGCTAGGAATACCAATGGTATTTACCCTTTTCTGTCTTTGTACTATTTTTTGTTAAATTTGTGTTCTTCATTTTCATAATTGATGTGTTGAAATTAACAACTGATCCGAATATAGAATCAGAGATTTCCGCCGAGTTAGATTCACAAATTGAAATTGTCTAGTACGTATCGCACTTTCTTCATCAGGCTTAAATTTAAAATTCTTTTTAAAAAATCTTCTAGGATATGGGCACATCTGGGAATGATTTGAGCACTTAAGTACAACATAACTGTCTTGTGCCTAGACATCTTTTGCTTTAATTTTGATTACCGGAATGAGGCCGCTTATTGTGACCGCTTTAAGAGTAAGCCCTATGAAGTAGGAAACAGCGGTTCCGAATCGTCTCTGATGAAGCTGGTTTGATTTGCAGGGCCCTAGGAAAAAGATTCTTCTTGCTCTCTTGCCCCGTCCCAGAAGGCAGCCGTGATTTTTCCTTAATATTCATCAATCTTTGCCAATGAAAACCGTGGCCTCTCTTTCCGGGGACTCTTGAATCAGTTGTCACGTTAAGGCTGATCAAAATATTTGTTGGTGGCAAGAAATTTTTAAGATGCGTAGAAATGGTTAATATGTGTTGATTTTTATCAATATATTTAGCGTCTCTCGTGCATGCTACATGTTAAGTATTCTTAGGGTGAATTACAATTTTCAGACCTGAAAGAAAATGATTTAAACTATTCGAGTTAACTAAAAAATAATTTAAACTATTCGAGTTAACTAAATAATCAAATTATTTAGTTGAAGTCAGAAAATGATTTAGTTTTAGTTCGTGATGATACGAAATTCAAATAACTCGATAAGAATAGTTTGAAATTAAAAAAAATTATATCAACTATTATGCAAAACATAAAGCATAGATTTGATTTTTATAATTTGATCAATTAGTCTCTATACTTGACCGTAGTGCATATAGTCTAATAACAAAATTTTACTTAAAATATTTTTTGTTGGATAAATTTGAATTTGTATTCATCTAAAATAACTCCTTGTACGAACAAATTCCAACACCTTCTAGTCGATGGAACAATGTAGGTAAGGGAAGTCGACAAAATAGATTTGTAATATTGGAAAAAGGATTGGTCTGAGGGTTGGGTACGGGTCCCAGTCTTGAACCCGTCGACTGTTGGTGCATTGCTCGAGCTGCTCCTGTGACCAGAGTGGGTCATCACGTGCGACTGGGGGACGGACTACGAATAACTCCTTTGGGGCTTTCCTCGAGCGACAAACAATCAACTCAAAACTAATACGTATAAGGAGAATCTGACTACTTAATTAAAATAAAGCATTGCGATGACCTCTACTTAAAATATTTCATATCTATCATTTAGATTGAATTAAAATATTAAAATATTAAAAACAACCATTATAAGGACTAGCTCCTAACTTAAATACAATACAGGGACTAGGAGAAGAAATTGATCTAAAATATAGAGCACAAACGTGTAATTTCGCCAACTCGAAAAGGATGCTTCACCTAAGAAATCCCCAATCCCGGTAATCTTAATGCACCACGGTGCATTTTAGCAGAATACCCCTAATTAAAAAAGGAAATTACAATAAGACCCCCAGAAATCTCATAACCTGAACTTTAAAACCGCCCCCTCCCTTTTCCCTCACTCCCATATAATCCATCATATGGCGATAACTCTCTCTGCGCTTTCCCGGCGATCGGCATAGCAAAAGAAGATACCTACCGGCAGCGGGATATTAAAGAAAATTTCTCTGAAGCAGGTTAAAAAGAAAAGGGAAATCATATTTTTTTCATCGGGAATTCACCGAGAGAAAAAAAAGAGCTTTTTTTGAATTTTTTCTTGGCGTTAAAGATTGAACTCGCTCGGTGATGCGATCAATGGTGTGTTCTGGTGAGAGAGACATGGCGATGGGACCCCGGAGATCAAAACCTCTTCACAATTTCGACCTTCCCTGTTTGAAGTGGGGAAATCGGAGACATCTCAGGTGTATGAAACTCGACGATGCTTCAAACGCCACCAACTCATCCTTCGCTTTTGCTGATCAATACCAGCATTGTCGTCGTCGTGTCTTTCAAAGGCGCCGATCTCCCCCGTCGAAGCTTGAGACTTTGGTGGTTGGTGGAATGCGGCGGCGCGAACCGGAGTCGTCGTCGTCTCCCAGCAGAAAGAACACCTATTGTGCGAGAGAGCAGCCGTTGATGATACCGAAGGGAGAGGCGGCGGCGGGGATCGAGGCAGTTAGGGAGAAGATCATGAAAGATCTTAAAACGGCGGCGGATGAGATCAAAGGTGCAATTTTTAGAGACGAAGGGTCGGACGACGCGGACGAATTCGAAGAGCCTAAAAATAAGCAGAAAGTAAAAGAGAAAGAGAGGGAAGATTCGCCTGCGGTAGAGGTGGAGCCGAGACCGTGGAATCTCAGGGCAAGGCGTGCCGCGTGTAAGGCTCCGATTGACGGAGAAGTAACTAACAACAATTACAGTTCTCCGATGACGAATGAGGTGTTTAAGTCACTCAGAGTAAGAGACAAGGGACCGTCGTTGGCATCGGCTCCACCCGCCGCCGATAAGAAAAGACCCCGACCGAAATTCTCGGTATCGCTATCAAAGGAGGAGATCGAAGAGGATTTCAAGGCCATGGTTGGCCACCGCCCTCCTAGAAGGCCAAAGAAACGCGCACGTAACGTTCAGAAGCAATTGGACGTAAGTTTCCTCTTCTTCTAAATTTTTTTACTTTTCCGATTGTTTTTGTTGTTCTTCTTTCTTTCTTTATTCATTTTTGTTGATTCATTGTTTTGGCTACAGTACTTGTTTCCTGGGTTGTGGCTGACGGAGGTAACGGTGGATTCTTACAAGGTCCCGGAGTTGGCTGAAAACGGCAAGTAAATCTTCTTTAATTCAAAAATATCCCACCTTCTTCTCATCTCTGTCTCTGCTAAATTCCCAGCAACCAAACTGATGAAAGAAAAGGGTCTAATTTAAGATCCCTGTATTATGATCGAGTCGAGATTTGTGAGCTTGACTTGTTGGCATTTTGACTTTCTTGCAGAGGTAGTAAAAAGGGGAGTTTCAACTTGCAACAAGGTCTAAAGAAATCATTCGGCAATTTTGTGACCAGAATTATTCAGACTCGTATACAGGGTTACCGAACCTTTGTAGATTAGGAATTTCACAGAACAAAGTTGAATTTTTCTGATGTTTCTGGTTAGGTTACGGCTGCTTTACAATGCTAATTTTTGTTTTAATATGATCTTCATTCATTTTATTTCTTTATCTCGAGCCGAATAATCATGTACAAAGTAAGGTGACAATGGTAACAATAGTTGAATGAGATGCAGCCCTTGTCTTTAATTCTGTGTTGTGTTGCACTCAACTAAATTCCTGGTTCTTTCATCTGCAGTTCTTTAAGCTCGTCTTGGTGAATTTGTTTTTGATTAGTTTACTCGATACTGCTAGTCTGCCACGGCTTTCTTCTGTAGCTTCAGAATTGCTTGTTTCGATCGACGAGGATGCTTGAGAATCGAACCTAGCATGCTCTTCTTGTTTGCGTTGATCGGATACTTCGTTTTCGAAAACTTCACATGCTTTCTTGTTCTTGTTTAGCGTTGTTGGTCGATCAACAGGCTGCTTTAGGACTTTCAACAAACACAAAAGAAATTGACAATGCTTTAGGGTAAACTACATGTTTAGTACCTAAATTTTTAATTTTTTAAAATCATACCTAAAGTTTGTTTCATTTTAGTGCCCTCGTTTAAAACTTAACGTTGTATTTCGGGGAAAAAATTTGGAAGTTTATGTACTACCAAAACTGATGGTATATGTACTAAATGTGTTAAATTTTTAACGGCAAGGTACTAAAATGAAACATAAACTAAATGTTAGGTATGATTTTGAAAAAATTGAAAGTTTAAATATTAAAACGAATCAAAATTGATAGTCTAGGTACTAAATACGTAGCTTACCAAAAATTTAATCTGATATAATATAATAATTATCAGGAATATATTTATAAAAAATTACAATGATATCCTCTTCTATATCATTTGTCTAATCAAATCCTTTTATCTAATTAAAATAAATTTATAGGTAGAGATGTAGGGTTGAGTGTGAGTTTTAACCTAAAAATTAAGATCGAGTGAAATGTTTTTAAACTCGGATTGAATGCGGATGAAATAGTTTAATATTAGATTCCGAATTGAGGATGAAGGGGTTTAATATTAGATTCGGGTTTAAGTGGAAAAAATTGATCCAATCTATAATTATTCTTAATCAAAACTCTGAAATTAATAAAGTTGTTGTATGGATACATAAGAAACCAGTCCTATAAATACAGTGCTTAATTCCTAAAGAAGGTACATATCCACTAAAGATCACATCCATCACCTTATATGATGGGTCATATGCCACAGCATATACCATAATCTATAACTATCACACAAAGTTGCCCATCTCTTCCAACGCTCCACTTTGCCATAACCCATCATCCGTCATCTCATCACATATCCAACAACACCCTTCACCGGCAGCAGCCATAGTTTCCGTGCCGTGCCCACTGCCGCCGATATCGTAACTTCCATTCAGAACTTGGTCATACACGTTTGGACTCGCTTGGTGTTGGGCGAATCGATCGGCTTCCTCCGAAATGTTCACGAATTCCGCGGCAAACGAACCCGGAATCGTCGACGACGACGGGACTACGCATTCCGGTACTTGAGCACCCGTACCTTTCGAATGAGAAGCAGAGCATGTCTGTTTTTGCACCCTGGTCCTCCAATAGTTCTTGATCTCGTTGTCCGTTCTACCCGGAAGACGCTCTGCAATTTTCGACCACCTAGAGACATAAACACAACTCAGGCCACATGTATCAAACAAACCTGCGCTAGATCATTGAACAAACTCACCTGTTTCCCCACTGGGAATGAAGTTCAAGAATCAAGAGCTGTTCTTCGAGCGTCAGGTTTCCGCGTTTAACGTCGGGGTTTAAATAGTTCAGCCACCTTAGTCTGCAACTTTTTCCAGTCCTCTTGAGGCCTGAAAGTGGATCAACAAGGAAACATAAAAGAAAAGGAGACTAGATCGTAGTTTGATAAGAAGTTTTGGTACCTGCACATCTTGCCAACATATTCCAACGACCAGCCCCATGATGATCGATGTAATGGGTCAAGAGAGCATCTTCTTCAGTGGTCCATGGCCCTCTTCTCAGCTTACTGTCTTCTTCAATATGACTGCACATTCTCTTTGTGATTAAAGCAATGAAATTCCAAATGCTCGGCAACCTCAAATTTATAGGCTTCAAAGGCCATAATAAAGTAAAACAAGGTTCTAGGACTAGGAAAGCAAGAAAATATCTAAACTAAATCAGTCTAAAAAGTGTTACATATCTCCTATTTTCGACACGTGAACATGAATCGAAATTTTTTTCTCTGAAATCACATGTTCTGTAAAATTTATAACACAGCAAATATGTCACGCGACATAATTCATATTATGAAGGTCGAATCGAATAGTAATACCTACAATATCATGTTACTAAAGTTGCGAAATCTGAGATCATAAATCGAATTGAAAAGGACATCAAGAAAAAGGAAAAAAATCCAGAAAGAAGATATCAATAATGGAAGTTGAATTCAAGCATGAAGAACATGTTTTATTTTCATTCTTTTCCAGTTATAGTTGGTTAATCTATACAACGGTGGAGACGCCTTTGTCCCTTTTTCCTTAAAATAGCATGCAAATGCAAGAAAGATCATGTGGCCTGGTGGCATAGATAAAGGATTTCCCTGCTATGAAGGAATATCATTCCTACAATAACAGTGACCTGGGACGATAAGCTCACATATAATAGAAAAAACGTCAAGTTCGAGTGATAAGTAGTTTGACATCGTTTAAACATATGTTTGAGTTTTGTGTAAGCAGAAAATTCTTGTTGGAAGACTCACCAACCAAAATTAAGTGTGAGATGCAGGTCAATCTAGTTTAATCAGAGTGAAACCCTGACACCGAAAGAGAAAAAAATGCCACAATATCTATTTATATATATATATATATTCTCTCTCTTTTATATATATTTTCTTTTAAAATGACAAGTTGGACCAATGAGAGCCTTATAGTTGATCATTTAAAAGGGCGATACAAACCCACGAGAGGCTTCTCAAGGCAAAATTGACCCAATAGGGGATGCGGGTGAAAAAATTAATCCACTAAGTCATCTTCAAAATAAATTTGGATCTATGACAAATGTTACAGTACAGGGTAAACTAGTCACGCTCACATGACGATATCACCCATATAATACTTTTTTATTCATATTTATCACGTCGAGGTGACAAATTCTAATAAAATATAATTTTTTTATTAAATTTTGTTATGTTGGAGTGACAAATTCTAATAAAAATTATATTTTATTAGAACTCATCACCTCAACGCGAAAAGTTTCATGTCACTTTGGTAAATACTATAATTTTCAAAATAAAAAAATCTAGTATCGTATTAGGCTAAATAATTAACCCGCATACGGTATTGGGCCAAAATTACCGGCTTCTCAATATGTTGAACCATAACGCCTTTTTCACTGGGACTTGAAATGAATAGTGTAAAAGAAAACCAGAGTTGAGGAAGACTTGTAATTCATTTTGTATAGAGAAAAAAAAACATTATTGTTTCTCGGGAAAAAAAATGGTGAGGCTAGGTTATTGTTGTTGTGAGGATAATATCCACTTGGTGATAAAAGAAAAGGGATGACACGTGGGTTGGGGGTTGAGCATCACTAAGAATTTTCCAGACTTAAAGGGCTAAGCATGTAAAGGTGATAAACGAGAAATTATACAGTGCGACACCTTTAATATATAATTAAAAAAATATGTTATTAGTTTTATTATTATTTAAATAATAAAATTAATAAAAAATTATTTAAAATATTATTATTTCTACATAAAATATCAATATTTTTTTTATCATTTCTAGTAAAATGCCTATTAATAATAAATCGGTGGAAAAAATAACAAAATCGATAAAAATTATAATGTTTTTAGTAATACATTTTTTAACTGTATATTAATATTGTCGCATTCTGACCATAGAAGTAGAGGTTGAAAATAATACAACAAAACATTAAGAATCCCAACCATTCATTCAAACTTTAAAGTGATGGAAGACAGGGATGTTAAAACAAGTAATTTGATTAATTGATCGAATTGAATTGTTCAAATTTTATTAGTCGATTTTTTTATTAATCGTTAACCGAACTATTTTTTAAAATTTAATCGAATCGAATTAAGTTTGGTTAATTTATAGGTTAACCGAATTAATCGGAATTTATAAATAATATATATTATATATTAAATATTATATATTATTTATTTATTCGATTAATTTGGTCGGTTAATTCATTTAAAGCCGAGTTCAAACACCCCTAAAACTAAATAATATATATATATATAATATTAAATATTTAATAATTTTAGTTAATACGATTAATTCGGTTAATTAACTGATTTCGAACCGAGTTAACCGAAACTAACATTTTAAAAAAATTAATCATTAACTGACCGAAATTTCGATTTGGTCGATTAATTCAGTTTTAATCGAACAACGAACACCCTAAATAAAAGGTGTCAGAATTTTGATTAACCCTAACTTACCCACTTACCAAATAACAAAATCGCATTAAGCAACAAACACCACCAATTTACTCCTTTATTTAATTATCCCCTCCACTCTATTCTTCTCGTAAATCATGAACAAACATAAAGAAGTTCAATTTTCAGGATCAACGTGTCTCAATCCTAATATACATATTGATTCGTCACAATTTATATATATATATATATCGATAGAAGTAGAATTTATTTATTTTGTGTAATTTATTTATTTTTTTAATTTTAAGATTATATATATATATATATAGTGACAGATCTATGTATATGTTAGGGTAAACATGTGTTCACCTTGAAAATTAATTTTTTTATGTTATTTTTTAATTTTATTTTTTGTGTCCATCTTAAAATTTTAATTGTGTATGTTCATAAAAAAAATATTATTAATTCATAATATCTATAATGAAAAATATTTTTAGATCCGTAAATATATATAAAGTTGGGATGCGATGGAAGGCATGATTGGGGGATGACCAAATTTGCTTTTTCACAAAATTTATACTACTTCATGCCTGAAATATTGCCATTCTATATTATTTTTAAACTTTATTATTAAAAAATAAATATTATTTTTCAATATAAATTATAAAAATAAATATAAAATCAGCAAAAATCATTCAATATAAAGTTGTTTCAACCCTTGATTTGATATTTTGTAACTAAAAATAAATAAACTGTGTTTGTAAAATATAAAAACAA